GAGGAGGAGGAGAAGGAGAAGAAGGAAGAGGAGAGAAGAAGAAGAAAGAAGAGCTTTCCTCCTGGGGGTGGTGCCCATGGTTGATAAAGCATTTTTCTCCATGTGTTAGAATTTCTAAGATCCATAATGCTGGCAAATTAAGACTTTCAAAAGTGATTCAAAAGTAATTCAAAAATGATCTTTGGTGGTTCATGCCATTAATCATAGCATTTTGGGAGATAGAAGCATGTAAGTCTCTTGAATTAAAGGTTAGTCAGGGATACACACTGAGACTCTGTCTCACAAAAACAAAACTAAAGCAATGGACTGCTTTGTGGATGGAGAGATATCTTCATCACTTAAGAGCACTTGTTGCTTTTCCAGAGGACCTGAGTTCAATTCCCAACCTCCACATCAGGAAGCACATAACCACCTGTAACTCCAGCTCCAAGGGGAATCCCAAACCTCTGACCTTTGCAGTCATCAGCACTCATGTGCTCACACACCCCCAACACAGACACATTAATTTTAAGTAATTTTTAGTGAAATAAAAGGATATTTGGTTTTGTTTCTTAAAATATTTTATATGTATGGTGTTTTACCTGCATGTACATCTGTGCACTACATTCATACTCTGTGCCCAGAGAGGTAGGAAGAGAACATTGGATCCTTTGCAACTGGAATTACAGTCAGTTGTGAGCCACATGAGTGCTGGGAATCAGCTCCAGGTCCTCTGCAAGAGCAACAAGTGTTCTAAACAACTGAGCTACTTCTGCAGCCCCCAATTTTGTCTTAACATCATGATATCTGAATAGATGAAATCTTTAGTGAGGCTGAGTGTGAGGCAGAAACTGTCTTATGTGTTGGGCTATGCAGATCCACATTCTATCAAACACTAATGACCTTATACTCTCCATACTGGCTACATGTCCCTCCTTTGATGTCTTAGGATTGGTCCCTTTTTCCTACACATCGTGTTATATTTCCTAGGAAGATTGAAGTTTAATCCTAATGTGGCATCAAGAAAGATGGAAAAAGCAGTGTGTTAGGTGCTCAGTGTCTGGTACATAGCTGCTGGCATTCTTACCTCCAAGCTACAGTTCTCCTTAAACAAGAGGCTTCTTAGTCTGCTCATAAATCACCTTTGGGGGATACCCAAAAGAGAACTAGGGTAGGATTGATTCAATGAGTTTGACATGAGATGGAACAGGAACACTCATGTGCAATAAGATTGGAGCCTATGAAAAACTTGTAGCAATGAGACAGTTTTTTACATGACAGTTTATTATACCAACCTTCACCTAAAGGCCAGAGTGAGGGTAGTGGACAGGGCGGGTTAAAGTTAGTATTGTAACGCTGAGGTAAAATTAAAACGTTGTTGCGTGGTAGTGTCGCACACCTTTAATTTCAGCACTCGAGAGACAGAGGCAGGTGGATCTCTGTGAGTTAGAGGCCAGTCTGGTCTACAAGAACTAGTTCCAGAACAGGCTCCAAAGCTACAGAGAAACCATGTCTCGAAAATTTTTTTAAAAAATTTAAAAAGTGATTGGGAGGGTGTCTTAGTTATTGTTCTATCAGTGTAAAGAGATACCATGACCAGGGCAACTCTTCTAAAAGATGGCATTTAATTGATTTCATTCATTTCAATTTTAGTTAGTCCATAATCATCATGTCTGGAAGCAGACCGGCATGGTGCTGGAGCAGTAGCTGATAGTTTTACATCCTGATCCAAAGGCAACAGGCAGAGAGTGAGACACTGGGTCTTGTATGGGTTTTTGAAACCCCAAATTCTACCCACCCATCCCAAGTAACAAACCTCCTCCAATGAGGCCACACTTACTCCAACAAGACTGCACCTCTGAATCCTTCCCAAACAGTTCTACTAACTGTGTTCTAAGCATTCAAACATATGATCCAATGGGGAATATTCTCATTTATGCCACCAAAGTGGAGCAGCTGAGATGGTTCGGTAGTTAAAAACACTTGCTACTCTTAGGGAGGAGGTAGATTTGGTTACCATAACTCACATACTGGCTAACAACCACCTATAACTCCAGCTCATGGGGATTCAATGCCCTCTTCTGGCTTCCTTGGGCATCAAGCATGTACATGGAGTACAAACATACATATACAGAAAATAAAGATAAAATTTTTAAGAACGTATTTGTTGGTTATGAAAGATGGCTCAGCAGTTAACAACAAGCCTTCTCTTCCAGAGAACTGGAGTTTGATTCACAGCATCTACATATCAGCTCACAACTGTCTGTAACTCACCTCCCAGTGGATACAAAGGCACTATGCACCCACATTGTGTACTGACACACATGCAAACAAAACAGCTATACACTTAAAATAAAATTTAAAATAAAAATATGTGTTCTTTTTGCAAAGGCTAACAAAGGCTAGCAAAGGCTCTGAGGCAAATACTGTCTGATTCAGGAAGCCCACCTGGTACTTCCAGTGTTATTCCCTCTGTCTCTGTTGTCCTGTGAGCTGCCACGTGGGTGTTGGGAATTAAACCTGGGTCCTATGAAAAAGCAAATGCTCTTAAACACTGAGTCATCTCTCTATCACAAGAATACATTATTAGAAGCTCAACTCACAAGTTAAAAAATAAGCATTTTGGTTTTCAGTGACACTCACAAAGTCTGGCCAGGTCTGAAGCCCTGTGAAAAGCACCAATTGTGATGCCCAAGGGCCTGAGCACTTGCTTAAGTAAACTTGCAAACACTGAGGTGAGAATTTTAAAACTTTTTAAATATACTATCAGGAGTGACTTCTTAAAAATTTATTTAATCATTTTATGTGAATGGGTATTTTGCTTGTATGTCTGTGAACCATGTACATGTAGTGTCCATGGAGGACAGAGTGTTTTGAATCCCCTGGGAATGGAGCTAAGACAGTTGTGCATCAAAAAAAGTACAAGATAGTTGTGAACTATCAAGTGGCGTGTTAAGAATTGAACCCAGGTCCTCTAGAAGTGTAGCCTATACTCTTAACCACTGAGCCATCTCCTCAGCACTTCCATGGTGACTCTTAAGCCTCCCTTCCTTTTCATGACAGAATTATTTACATGGAGGTTAGGGATGACTATAAGGAATATGGAAAGCTCCTTAATCACAGGATGATCTTAAGTGAGGCTTTGAGAGGTATCAGTATGTGGAGAATGTATGGAAGCCCATCCTGAGAGCTCACATCTTTTACATATGGAAGGAAGAGATCCTAGAGTGACTTCATCTGGGTATAAGCAGAGATTTGATGTCTTTCCCATCGCTATGCAGACTGGGAAGAAGACATAGTCATGTAATCAGTGTGAGCAATCTTTCAGCTATTTTTAAGTTTGTTATTTTTAAGTTTTAAGTTTGTTAAGCACCAAATTAACACACAATTGGGTGAAGGGAGCCCTATGAGTATCCCTTGGTGTTGGAAATCTTTCAGCCAGAACTATGATTTTACTGTATGTACATCAGAGGACTCATACTGGACAGAAGTTCTAGTACTGCAATCAGCGTGGGAAATCCTTCACCCAGATTTCTAAATTTACTAGGCATCAGCTAAATCACATAAGAGAAAAACAGAACAATAGTTATGACTGTGGAAAACACTTTAGATGGAACTCTATTCTTATTGTATATCAAAGAGTTTGATAAGTTTGTAAGTGTTCTCACTAGAGAAAGTCCTTCAGGACTGGAGAGATGGCTCAGTGATTAAGAACACAAGTTGCTTTTGCAGAGGACCTGGATTCAATTTTCAACATCTACACAGCAGTTCACAACCATCTTAAAATTCAGTCCCAGAAGATCAGATGCCCATGTCTGACTTCTAAGGGCAACAGGGACACACATGGTAGACATACATAAGTAAAACAACCATACACATAAAATAAAAGTTAAGGAAAAAGCCAAAGTTCTTACTTCATTGCACATAAATGAGACACTGAGAGAAGCAATGTGAGTGCAACCAAAATAAAAAGTCCTTCCTTTTAAGCACTCAACTCATTAGGCATTTATGAGTTCATACAAGAAAGAAGTCAATCTTAAAAATGCATTCATTAAGCCGGGCAGTGGTGGCACACACCTATAACCCCAGCATATGGGAGGCAGAGGCAGGTAGATCTCTGTGAGCTTGAGGCCAGCCTGGTCTACAGAGTGAGTTCCGGAAACCAAGGCTACACAAAGAAACCCTGTCTTGAAAAAACATACTCAACACCGGCAAAGCCTTCACAGGAAGTTTTTACCTTGTTGAACATGAAAGAACTCACACTGGAAAAAAAATTATTGTAAAGTATTTAGTGTGGGGGAAAAAAGTCTTTGTTAGGTGTTTTCACCTTCTTTCCAACTAAATAACTCATTTTGGAAGGAAACTATATAAAGTCTATGACTGTGGGAAATTCTGCATTAATCTCAACTTGTTCAACATCATCGGACACATACTGAAGTGAAGCATTATGAATGCAGTCATATGAATGCATTTTTGCTTTGGGGGATTGGTTTTTGAGACAGGGTTTCTCTGTGTATCTTTGCTTGTCCTATAACTCATTCTGTAGACCAGGATTGCCTCGAACTCATACAGATCTGCCTGCCTCTGCCTCCTGAGTACTGGGATTAAAGGTGTGCACCACCACTGCCTAGCTTGCATTTTATTTTTGTTGTTGCTTTTGTTTCTCAAGACAGGGTTTCTTTGTGTAGCCCTGGCTGTCCTGAAACTCACTCTATAGACCAGGCTGGCCTCTGTGTCAGATATCTGCCTCCAAATTTTAGCATCAAAGGTGTACCACCATCACTCAACTCAGACTTCCAATCAGGGGTTTTCTCTCATTGTTCACTGGAGGGCATACATAAGATAAGACTTATCAGTGTAACATGTATGCTAAAGCCTTCAGTCAGTGGTCACACAACATTGAACACCAGAGAACACATAGTGGAGAAAAAAAACCCATTAATATATGACTGTGGGAAAGACTTCAGCAATGTTCATCACTGGTAAACATGTAAGAATGCATACTGCAGAGAAACTATGAATATAATCATCATGGAAAGCCTTTATTCAACAGTGTCAACTTACAAGGCAAAAGAGAATTCATACTAAAGAAAAGTCTTATCAATGTAAAAACTTGGGGAAACTTTCAGTTTTAATACATCCCTTATTCAACCTGAGAAAACTGATGGGCAATAAACTATGATCAATCAAGATGAAGACTCCATTGTCATACTCTAAGCTAGAAATGGGATAGCTAAGGTGTCACTCTCAGAGTACAATGACCACATACAGTAGAAATACATGGATTGTGTGTTGAATCCATACTATTACCAAGCTCATGCTTCATACCACTTTATAGGATTCAGTATCAGGAAAAATTTGAACCTTCAGTTTTATAAGCAGTAAAAGTGATTTGAGAAGCTCTGTATAGGCTCCCTATAAAAGGCTTTCACTAAGAACTGACGAGGATATTAATTATGAGCTGTAACCTCCAGATAATGTTTTTACTTAGACGACAAACTGGATCGGAAATTATGGTAAGGTGGAAGATATTTTTATACAAAACACAGAACACTCAAACTAACATAACCCATGCAAGAGGAAGTTGGTGCCCAGTAATGAAATACACAGCTAATTATTTTTAATATAACCCACTAATTTAATCAAAAATTGGATTAAATTTGAAGGACTGGAGAGATGATTCAGCCAGCAGAGTGTTTGCCTGGTTTTGATCTTCAGAGACCATGTTTTGTTTTGCTTTTTTTTATTTTTACAGAAGTTAGATGGGGTAGCGTATGTTGGTAACATCAGTGATGAAGAGGTAGAGACAGACAGATCCCTGAGGATCACTTTACAGCCAGGTCAATGACAGATTCTTTGTCAAAAAAAGGAGGGAATGGAAAGGTCTGGAGAGATAGCTCTGTGGAGTAAGTAAACACTTGCTTTGGGTCCCCAGAGCCTACCTCAGTGCCTTGTGGGCATCGTGGCATTTCTGAAATTCCAGCCTAGGAAGGTGGAGACAGGTCATACCCAAGGGAAGCTAATTAGTGAAGCTAGCTATTCTGGTCAATGCTGGGTTTGACCAAGGGGCCCTGCCTCATTGACTGTAGTGGAAATGAGATCACAGGTAATTCCTAACCTCAACCTTGGGCCCCACATGCACATGCATCCATTTCCATGTGTGCCCACACACACAAAGACACACACACATGTCCATACATATGCAATCAAACACAGCCAAGTACACATAAACACACATGAAGAATGAGAGTGGGGAAAGCTATATGGCACACTAGGAATGACACTTGAGGTTATCCTCTGGCTTCCACATTCACAGCCTAATAAGGGTACAAATAGTTAACAGTTACTGAGGAAATAAGCAATTTCTTGAAGCAGTGGGGAAGAAAGAATTGCTTTCCATGTAACAATAAACATTTTATTCCCTGGCAATACACTTATTATTTAGGCAATGCTGACAAATTATTTTGAATGCTGTTTTCTGGTCAGCTCATCACTGTTACCATATACCTGAGAAATAACTTAAAGGAAGCAAATCTTGGTTTCAGAGGCTTTCATTGTGATTACTTGGCTTCATTGATCATGAGGCAGAATAGCACTATGAGAAGGACATGGATAGAGCAAACCAGCTCGCCTCATGATTGTGGGAGAGAGGAGATTGACCAGGATCCCCATATCCACTCCAACGGCATGTCTCCAGTGACTTCTCTTTCTTTCACTGGGTTCCACTTCCGGAAGATTCCCCCACCTCCCTATGTAAAAGGATGAAGAGCTGTAAGTACTTGTGTGAATGTATAAAATATCTGAGAAAGGACGCACAAATAAAAAAAAAATCGTGATTACCTGTACAGAAGAGAACTGGTGGTGGGAAACAAAAGCGGAAGACATTCATTTTTGTCTTGTTAAATTTAAGCCTTGATACTGTTGCTACTAGTCCACACACACTGTGCCGGCTAGTTTTCTGCCAGCTTGACACAAGCTAAAGTCATCAGAGGATGGAACCTCCAGTAGGCAACTCCATAGGGCACTTGATTAGTGATGGATGTGGGAGGGTCCAGCCCGTTATGGGTGGGCTACCACTGGGCTGTAGTCACGAACTCACATGAAAGCAGGCTGAACAAGCCAAGCAAGTCAGTAAGCAGCACTCCTCCATGGCCTCCGCAGCAGCTCATACTTCCAGGTTCCTGCCTTGCTTGAACTCTGTAACCCAAGACTGCTGGTTCATTCCTGGCCACCCAGACCCAAATACTCACACAGAAACTGTATTAATTACAACACTGTTTGACCTGTTAGCCCAAACTTCTTATTAACTAACTCTTACATCTTAAATTAACCCATTTCTGTTAATCAATGTATCACCACGAGGCTGTGGCCTATGGGTAAGTGTCCAGTGGTATGTCTGCTTCAGCATCTACATGGCCTCTCCCTGACTCCACCTTTTCTCTATCTATCTATCTATCTATCTATCTATCTATCTATCTATCTATCTATATATATATATATATATATCTTCCAGCCTGGTTATATTCTGCCCTGCCACAGGCCAAAGCAGCTTTATTCAATAACCAATAAGAACAACACATAGACAGAAGAACATCCCACATCAGAGTTCCTGCCAATACTGCTTTTGATGATGGAACTGTGAGTGAAATAAACCCTTTCCTCCTCAAGTTTCTTTTGGTCATTGTGTTTCATTGCAGCAATAGTAACCCTGACTAAGACACATACATTTTCCATTTTTTTCATTTTACATTTTAAATTAAATACCTATGGCTTTCTTTTATGTGTATGTATATGTGTATAGGAGCAGTGAGCATATAGAGGTTACAGGACAACTCTCTCAAGCTCCCTTGTATGATCCATGTATCAAATTCCAGTCATCAAGCCTGCCTTCTAGCATCTTTACCACTGACCATCTTGCCAGGCCACTCTATTTTTTAAAACAATGATAAATGCCTAAACTAAGGCAATTATGATAAAAATAACAAAAAGCTATGGGTTAAGACCCTCAGGAGTCAGGTATATACCCTTAATCACAGCACTCACAAAGCAAAAGCAGGAGGATCTTTGTTAGTTCAAAACCAGTCTGGTCTACATAGAGAATTCCAGGACAGCCAGGGGATGTTGTAGAATATTTGTTTAAGATGTGTTACATTTGTGTTAATTAAATAAAATTAACTCCAGGCTCAGAGAGGTGGGAGTTAGCAAGTAGTTGACAGGACGGAGGAGGAAGGAACAAGACATGGATTTGCTTAGTTGGGGTAGTAAGGAAGGAGAGAGGGTTTGGAGGGTGCCAGCAAAGAGAGAAAGTTAGCCACTTGCTACTCTAACTCTCTGAGCTCACAGGTTTTCACCCTATCCTTTGAATCTCAAACTTTATTAGACCGACAGAAATTTAGGTAAGTTACCTTTAGCAGCAGCAACAGAGCCATTGTCTGAGGGAACAGAACCCCTCCAGCCTACGACCTGAGCAGCTGGGCCACTAGTAGTTTAAAGCATAGTCACTGTGATGAAGGTAAAACCACATTTTGGAGCCCAATGTGGAGTGCCATATATAATGAGTCTTTTTCTGTCCTACCAGCCAGCTCCCAAATAACAACACAGAGACTTAATTATGAAAACTTGGGGCTGGAGAGGTGGCTCAGAGGTTAAAAACACTGGCTGTTCTTCCAAAGGTCCTGAGTTCAATTCCCAGCAACCATATGGTGGCTCACAATCATCTACAATTAGATCTGGTGCCCTCTTTGGCAGCAAGCATACATTCGGCAAAATACTATACATAATAAATAAAAATATTAAAAGAAAACTTGGCCTTAGCTTAGGCTTGTCCCACTAGCTCTTATAACTTGAATTAACGCATTTATATTAGTCTATATTTTACCTCATGGCTTTTTACCTCCTGTCATTCTGTATGTCTGACTCCCTCCATGTCTTGTTAGCATCTGACTGCACCTCAATTATCTCCTCCTACTTTCTCTCTGTGTGCCCAGAAGTACCACCTATACCTCCTGCCTAGCTATTAGCCATTCAGCTCTTTATTAAACCAATCACAGTAATATTTTCACACTGTGTACAAATAGCACAGGCTACATAGAGAAATCCTGTCTCAAAAGCAAATATTTCCATATATACATGCGGGCACAACACATACAGGAAATAAAATAAACCTTAAAATATTAAAGAATTGATTCATGGCATCTATAATTTCTTACCCTCCTATTGATAAAGTCAGGGGGATTCAGAGATTCTCATGGGCTTTTGTTAGAAGCAGTGAAAGAAAGGTGGACACCTGTGAGAGTTCTGGCTTTCAAAATGACACATTCCCGGACTGGCATTTGATGCTGGCTGCCAACTGGGACTTCAGTCAAAATGTATAACTCCAAATTATTTGAGCATGGTAGGTAGGTTTCCAGAAGAAAGGATATCCCAATAACAAACATTTTAGGAAACCCCCGTAAAATCTGTTAAGTGTATTATAACATATCTCAGAAATCACAAATCAGTACTTCTGCCACATTTTCTTAATGGAACAGTCATGGAAATCCCAGAATTAAGGAGCAAGGAAATAAATTCTACTTCAGTGAGAAACAATTTTGGGCAATACTTAGATTAATCACAAAGCTTCAGCAACTTGATCAGAAGTAACAGAGAAGGGGAACTTTAGAGTTAACCTCAATTTATAATATAAAAAACTTAATGGACTGAGAAGACGGAAGAGTACTGGTTTGAAATACAAAAACAATATGTGTGTTTTTCAGATGTGTTTTGACTCAGGAAATGAAGGTGAAAAGCTGTGCAATTAAAAATATTCGTCAAGATCAGAGAAAATATAGTATGTACTCAATAAGTCTCACACAGAAGATTTAAACATGTTACTTGACCATCTAACAGCTGGTCATTCACTATCATCTCTGCCTGGGGCACTTTCTTCCCAAGCACCATCACCATGGCTTCCTACCTGATATCCTGCAAGCACCCTCTAATGTATTACTTCCTCAGACAGTGAGGATAACCTAAATAGATTTTAAGTTTAATTTTTTATTGTTTTTATTGAGCTATATATTTTTCTCCACTGCCCTCCCTTCCTCTCCACTCCCCTTCTATTCTCTCCTATGGTCCCCACGCTCCAATTTACTCAGGAGATCTTGTCTTTTTCTACATTCCGTGTAGTTCAAATCCATGTATGTCCCTCTTAGGGTCCTCATTGTTGTCTAGGTTCTCCAGGATTGTGAATTGTAAGCTGCTTTTCTTTGCTTTATGTCTAAAAGCCACTTATGAGTGAGTACATATGATACTTGTCTTTCTGGGTCTGGGTTACCTTACTCAATATGATGTTTTCTAGATCCATCCATTTGCTTGCAAATTTCAAGAGGTCATTGTTTTTTTTCTGCTGTGTAGTACTCCATTGTGTAAATGGACCACATTTTCCTTATCCATTCTTCAGTCAAAGGGCATTTAGGTTGTTTCCAGGTTCTGGCTATGACAAACATGCTGCTATGAACATAGTTAAGCACATGTCCTTGTGGTACAATTGAGCATCCTTTGTGTATATACCCAAAAGTGATATTGCTGGGTCTTGAGGTAGGATGTTTTCTAATTTTCTAAGAAATCGCCTGATATCCAAAGGGGTTGTACCAGCTTGCATTCCCATCAACAGTGCAGAAGTGTTCCCTTTTCCCCACAACCTCTCCAGCATAAGTTGTCATCAGTGTTTTTGATCTTGGCCATTCTTATAGGTGTAAGATGGAATCTCAGAGTTGTTTTGATTTGCATTTCTCTGATGTCTAAAGATGTTGAGCATTTCCTTAAGTGTCTTTCAGCCATTTTAGATTCCTCTGTTGAGAGTTCTCTATTTTCTTCTGTACCCCATTTTTTACTGGATTATTTGTTCTTTTGATGACCAATTTCTTGAGTTCTTTGTATATTTTGGAGATAAGCCCTTTGTCCAATATGGAGTTGGTGAAAATCTTTTCCCATTCTGTAGGCTGCTTTTTGTCTTGTTAACCATGTCCTTTGCTTTACAGAAGCTTTTCAGTTTCAGGAGGTCCCATTTATTAATGGTCTCTCTCAGTGTCTGTACTGCTGAGATTATATGTAGGAAGTGATCTCCTGTGCCAATGCATTCAAGTGTACTTCCCACTTTCTCTTATATAAGGTTCAGTGTGGTTGGCTTTATGTTGAGGTCTTTGATCTATTTGGACTTGAGTTTTGTGCATGACGATAGATAGAAATCTATTTTCATTCTTCTACATGTTGATATCCAATTATGCCAGCACCATTTGTTGAATATGATTTCGTTTTTCCATTTTATATTTTTTGCTTCTTTGTGAAAAATCAAGTGTTCATAGGTGTGTAGATTAATATCTGGGTCTTTAATTCTGTTCCATTCGTCCTCCTGTCTGTTCTTAATCCAATAGCAGGCTGTTTTCAGTACTAGAGCTCTGTAGTAGAGTTTGAAGTCAGGGATTGTGATGCCTCCAGAAGTTCCTTTATTGTACAGGATTGTTTTGGCTGTCCTAGGTTTTTTGCTTTTCCATATAAAACTGAGTATTTTTTTTGAGGTGTGAAGAATTTTTTCTGGGAGTTTGATGGGCACTGCATTGAATTTGTAGATTGTTTTTGGTAAGATTGCCATTTTTACTATGTTAATTCTACCTACCCAATAGCATGGGAGATCTTTCCACTTTCTGGTGTCTTCCTCAATTTTTTTCTTTAAAGATTTAAAGTTCTTGTCATACAGGTCTTCCACTTGTTTGGTTAGAGTTACTCTGAGATATTTTAAGCTACTAGTGGCTATTGTGAAGGGAGATGTTTCTCTAATTTCTTTTTCAGCCCATTGATCATCTGTGTACAGGAGGGCTACTAATTTTTTAAGTTAATCTTGTATCCTGCTACATTACTGAAAGTGTTCATGAGTTGTAGAAATTCCTTGGTAGAATTTCTGGGGTCGCTTATGTAAACTATCATATCATCAGCAAATAGTGAGTTTGACTTCTTTTCTGATTTGTATCCCTTTAATCTCCTTTTGTTGTTTTATTGATCTAGCTAGAACCTCAAGAACTATAATGAATAGATATGGAGAGAGTGGACAACCTTGTCTTGTTCCTGATTTCAGTGGGATCCCTGTAAGTTTCTCTCCATTTAGTTTGATGTTGGCTATTGGCTTGTTGTATATTACCTTTATTATGTTTAGGTATGTTTCTTGTATCCCTGCTCTCTCCAAGACTTTTATCATGAAGCAATGTTGTATTTTGCCGAAGTTTTTTTTTCAGTATC